TAAAGTGTGTGGGGGGGGGGGGGGGATCACTTCTCAGTGAGAAGTGATCACGTGAAAACCGAAGAAAACGACAACATCTAATTGTCTAATATATATGTCCAATGGCGATGTATCTGTATTGTCCGTATCCAATGTAAAGCATGCGCCAGCTCCAAAATGTCCGACATGAGCCATTTACGGTGCAAAAGATAAAATAAATATAGCTTGTGGGTAGCAGGGCTGCCCTCATGACCACAGCTCCGATCTCCAAACTGGCGGGAGGCACAGCTTCTTTGAAAACGAACAATGTTTCAGTATAAACCACCATATCAACATGAACAAACAAAAAAGAAGTTTTTGTTAGAAATGTCAGCTGCGAATGTTACGTCCTTAATAGGCCCTTTGTATACCCAAATAAAAGGCACTATTGAGCTGAGGGTGCTTATCGTCGACGATCTAGCTCCAAGACAGTAATGTAAGCACGTGAAGCATTTTCAGCAACATTCTGAGTACTTGTCGGCGTAACTCACCATTGGATTGTACTTTACTCAGCCCATAACGCATTTTCATTGAACCATCCCGAACATGCGTTTTGGCACTTCAATATTAATATTATTAACCTATAATGTGGCACATACATCTTTGAATGGATGTCTCCTTGGACGTAGGAACATTCCGTAAATTGTTGATCGCAATTTTTTCTATATTTTCCTTTCGTTTTTTATCGGCATCGCTGTACGTAGTGTTGAACTTATTCAAAGTGATAAACAGACGTGGCTCCTAGACCCGTGCATGCGTTGGTATGCACTAGTTTATATATATATATATATATATATATATATATATATATATATATGCCGTGCACGTATAGGTAAATAAATATGTAATTTTGAATGTATGTGAGGATGGAGATATTATATCATGAATTCCCCCAATGTTATGATTGCCGCATGAAGAATGTGTTGAAAGAGAATAAATAGAAAAAAGAGAAATGGAGGAAATAATTTAAAGTCCTTGGGTGCACCTCACTGACCCTTCCATAGACTTCTGCATTCTAAGTCCGAGACTATCCAATATTTTAACAGCACAGCCAATGTCCTTACAGAACATCGAATGTTTTAATGGTGATATGTTATCCATCTAAGATGCTCACCGTTCTGGGCTTTTCTCATCATTGCCAGCCTCCTATTGGCAATGACAGGGCCAATAATGGTGCATTCAGGCTCTTTTTCACAGAATATGCGTGCATTAGGGGCCTGCGATAGCGACTTGCACCCGCCAATTTATATGTATGACCACTGTGATCTACAATACAAATTATGACCAGTACAATGCAATTTATGTGTTGATCAACGTAGACCATGATGACGCTTCCAACTCCCAACGCCATCAGCAGGGCCACAAGCCTGACTGTCAGGCGTGATATTTTATCAGGCTTTGTTAAACTAAAGGCATGGTCTGGAACACGGAATTATTAAAAGATATCGTTACATGCAATATATTTATTTCAACTCTGAATGTCAGTGCAATTGCGCGAAAACGATCATTTTCTTGTCAGATTGTTGTAACACGCAAACCTTTCAAAAACTTTTTATCGCACTTATCTATTGTGAGAACGGCTGTCGTCAAAACTACAAGCATGAAAACAAGCATGTCAAAACAAATTCAGAGAAGTTGTTTTTCAACTCTCAAATAAAAACTGCAATGCCCATCATCTTCGTTTCTTGATATCGTCCCCCTTCTTGGGTTTCTTATACTACGTTCGTCACAAAATTCTGATTTCGAATGCTCGTCGGTTAGGTCATTTTACGAGAAACTGCGCGACACAATGCCAAAGTCTTGGCATTATGTACTTCGAAATTTCACGGCGGGGTGGGGGCCGAATCCGACATCCCGGAGAGGATGAGCATAAAAAAGCTGGACATGAATCTGTTTTAAGATATTCCATTGCTAGGCTTGTTGCCTCTCTTGGGAGGGACCTCTTACGGCATAATCTGTCCCGACCGTAGCTGACTCTGGCTCATAAATGGACCATATCTGAACCTGGCTCATAACTGGACCATGTCCGATCCCTGTTCATAACTGGACCGCAACTGATTCTGACTCATAATTGAACCGTATCTGATCCTGGCTCATAACTGGACCGCACCTGATCCTACCTCATAACTGGACCGTATCTGATCCTGGTTCATAACTGGACCGCACCTGATCCTGGCTCATAACTGGACCGTATCTGATCCTGGCTTACAACTGGACCATGTCTGATCCTGGCTCATAACTGGACCGTATCTGACCCTGGCTCATAACTGGACCGCACCTGATCCTGGCTCACAACTGGACCATGTCTGATCCTGGCTCATAACTGGACCGTATCTGATCCCGGCTCATAACTGGACCGTATCTGATCCTGGCTCATAACTGGACCATGTCTGATGCTGGCTCATAACTGGACCGTATCTGGTCCTGGCTCATAACTGGACCGTATCTGATCCTGGCTCACAACTGGACCGTATCTGATCCTGGCTCATAGCTGGACTATGCCCTCGATTATTTTGCTGACCATGGCTGTACCTCCTGTCCGCAACGTTGCTGCTAACTATGCACGCTAGATCGATCCTGGCTTTGGAGATTTCCAAATATTTTGGCACGGATAAAGATATGTGGGCCCATCACGTCTGAGAATCTTGCCTACCCAGTGGTACCTCCTCCGTGCACCTGTGTTCGACTTTGTCGGTTTCAGCAAATCACGGCTAAGTATGTACCAAACGCCTGATACCTGAAACCAGAGGTAGCTACTGTCATTGGGGACATTGCCTGTGCGGTATTTTTCACCTGTGGCTTTTTTAGTCGGAGCGATGGCCCCTCTCGCATCCGCTCGGAACCGTCCAAATTTTGGGAGCGGCCAACGCCGAACTAACGCCCGCACGTCTCTCATACGCGACAGCGACTGGAGAGCATTTCACTAATTCGGCTGCGTGTTAAGTGACCGCCACGCAACTTGTGTGATATTGTAGCTTTCCTTCCGGCCTTACGATCAGCTGTTCACCACGTTGTTGTTTCTTTCGTCGCACCCGAGTTGAGGAGCCTGAATGTAGTGCACGCAGACGTACACGTACGCACACGTGCGTAAACGCTGCCAGGCACCACACACCCTCACGCAACCAAACTCTCATCCCCATGCACGCTCATTGAAATACGTGTGAATAGAAGGCACATCCTCTCATTGCCAACATCAGCGGCAGGAAAACGGGTTGCGTCATTCGCCGGCGTTGACCCAACGTTTTCTGGCCAAAGGTTCGTCTATGCGTTTTTATGACTATTTAATGAAATATGCCACGTCCACTGCCAAGACGAACGTCGCCTGTCATGCCGTATTCTCCGCCCATGCTCCCATGTAATACTAAAGCCCTACAGTCGGTATACAGTTAAGAGATGCTTAAGTCTGTATGTATGGCAGCGGAGTGCCGTTTTGTCGATCTCTGCCCCACCGTTACCTGATGCTAATATCGATAAGAAGAAGTCAGCGAATTTGGATGACAATCACACACTCCCTATGGGTGTACCAGATTACCTTGCGGCCGGCCAGCTAGTTTTTTTTTTGTTTTGTTTTTTTTGGTTTTCGGTATCAGTTGGGTAGATATAGTGACTGGGCCCAGATAGTTTCGTGCTCGGGTCTGACGTACCCCAGCGGCGGCTACCTGCCGCCTGCGCAGCCGAGTGTTTGAGTGTTTGACCGATGTGATACGTTTGGAGAAAAGAAACCGAAATCAAAAAGCGGCAATAAGAACTGTTTTGTTCAAGGACAAATCCCCGATCTCTGTTCTCTATCTCTCATGCATAGCGCTGACAAATACAGAAGGTACCTTCCAAGAATACTCCATTGGAACCTCAGAACCAGTTATGTGTAACCTTAGCGGCGTATAGCGCCATTGCAACACCAACAACAAAAACAAAACACTAATTTCAATTGTTGTTGGGTCCAAATTAGACTGTCAACGTATCGGTACAGCACAAAACTTTCTTGTCATGTGGGCGCCGGCGCCAGGTTTTCAACATTTGTGGTTGGTTCTCCTGCGCCACATCTTGACATACGAATCAGGCCTGACTCCCATTCATGTGCGCCATTTGCCCGTTTCTGGCAACTCACCTGGATGTGCCAACTTCCGGATGCTGGTGACTGTGCAAGCAAAGGTGCCCCTGCTGCTTTGGACGTAGTGACAGAGGATGAACATGATACAAATATGGGCACTTCCTTTCAGTATGAGTTATTTTCGCCTGGTGCCGACCGAGGCGTGTCTGTATGGAGCGAATCAAACAAATATTCGTCGTGCAACCAACCATAAGTTTTTTACTGACACTTCCTACAAAAAACTTATTCAACAAAAGTTTATTCGGAGAAAATCCGATCAAACAGGAAGCAATACACTTCAACCTGATATAACCAAGCCTTTGGCAGTTGAACCTGACATAATGTAATAAAAGACCGCATACCTATTGTTCAGCTTTGCATAGGCTATTGAATGACACGCTGTTCTTCTTTAGAGTCCTTTTCAAGCCAGAGATACGAAGGGATAGTTACCTAACTCCAACAGGGCGAGCCTTGGTACGGATTATTGCCAGCATGAAGGATAAAGTATTCTAAAGATATCTCTGAAATGCTACAAAGGCCTCTAGATTTGGCAGCTCCACCGATGTGTGCTTACGCCAGCTGCTGCGCATCGTGACGTATCTGTATATTTGCAGGGGCAGTTGCTATCTGCCGGGTCAAGTTGGGTACTGCGCCGCGCTATTTGGTGCCCCCACTCACGTGACCTGGAGGCGCGCCTGACCCCTCCGGCACATTCCGTCTGACGTCAGAAAATACTATGCGCCTGGTTCGACGGCAGCCAATCCTAGCGCGGTATTCCATCTACGTCACGGCCATGTGATCGTGACGTCATCGGCCCCGCCAATATTCCTCGTCGGCAGAAAAATAGTACCACCCAAAACTGCTCAAACTCTGTGTTTTTTTGTATGCTAAAATGGGAAGGTCTTTCTCAAAATTCATCAAAGCAATATTTTTTAGCAATTCTGTTTTACCTGAACTGAAAAATATCCTCATAGAGCATCACACGTAGTGTAATAAGCATGCCTGCGCACGCTGCCGGCGAAAGGGACGGTATATGAGGAGGTGTTGCATCACCCTCCGACATTCACGGACTGGTGGTGGTGCGGTGATAGTTGTCGGGTGGTGCCAGCGGACTTTCGCAGTTGGACTCGTGCGTGTGCGGCGAGGGGGCGGAGACGAGTCGGTGCGCGCTGGCTGACCTGCATTTGCCAGTCGCGGGGCTGCAGTCGGGCCAGGCGGACGCGCTGCCGGACTTCGACGCCATTGCCCCTGCGCTGAGTGAGGACACAACATGCTGGTTGGGCATGGAATCGCCCCAGATGTATGACTTGAGTGATGCAGTGGTGAAGCCGAACTTACTGATGTGGCCAACAAAGCCAAGCTGGGTGGGCCGTACGGAGAGGAGTTCGGGGACCTGGCGGACCTCGGCGCGTCCGAAGTGTCTCTCGACCTGCAGGCGTTCGTCAACGACCCGCACTTCAGCGACGGCATCTTCCCCCGACATCGTCGACGGCAAGGGCCTGGGTGTGGGACTAGGCGGCCCGCGTCGCCGCGCCGTCCGCCACGTGCCTCGGGTCTGACGTACCCCAGCGGCGGCTACCTGCCGCCTGCGCAGCCGACAGCATGTGCCGGCCCGCCGCGCCTGCCGGCCGCCACCTCCCACAATCCCCGTGAAGAAGGACCCGGACGCCTCGAGTACCACGCGTACCGGCCGCCGCCGGGCTCCGCCTACCCAGGCGTCAACGTCTACAGCCCAGCCTACACGAGCCTGACGCCGGTCGTCGTCGGCGGCATGACAGCTAGCCGGCCGGCGGCGCCGGCGCCCGCCCGGCCGGCCGCCTCCAAGCAGCCGGGCGGCGGTTCGAAGCGCGGTGGACCGCACATCCGAGGAGTACCGCCGCCGCCGCGAGCGCAACAACGTGGCCGTGCGCCGCTCGCGCGAGAAGGCCAAGGTGCGCTCGCGCGAGACCGAGGAGCGCGTCAAGCTGCTGGCGCGGGAAAACGACGGGCTGCACAAGCGGATCGAGATCCTCTCTAAGGAGCTGAACGTGCTTAAGAACTTGTTCGCCAACGTGGGCGTGCTGCCCGACCAGCTGCACCGGGAGATCGCCAAGCACCTGGGCGACGGCTTCAACCGGCCACAGCCTCCCTCCGGCTTGTGACAGTAGGCGCGGACTGAGGCGCGCCGCGTGCCGCCAGCACGTGCGGACGGGCGTCAAGGACGTGCAATGGTCGCCGGCGTGCGGCCAGCGCGTGCAGTTGTGCGTGTAGGACGTGCGGTGGTTGCCGGCCGGCGGCCGGACGTGCCGTCGCACGGCCAGGACGTGCAATGGCCGTGGGCGAACGGCCAGGACGGCGGCGGCCTCTGTGTGACACTAGTCTTGCTACTTGTTGTAGGCGGTGCGAGACGCGTTTGTTGTGCATGTGGATGAAGTCCTATCGAGTTATCGGATCATTACGAGTCATCACGTACCTGTGTTCGTCCCGGGCGAGTGGATGAGGGCGTCTGTTGATACATTACGCGTTTTAATATAGCTGGGCCGATTATTTGATGTCTTTCGTCGCTGTGTGACGCGCGTCAGCTTGTTTGTTTTTTACAGCACTGTCCGACCACTTTTCCAAACCCCACGGGCGCCGTCTGCGCCGCTGTCGACTAACACGCCCCTGGCGGCCGGCGCTGGGTTCGGGGGGAGGGGGACCGGGGCAACGCGTGAGGTCAGCCGGCCCGGCTGGTTCGACCCGGCTGACCTGCCGTCGCCGTCCGCGTCACAGCTGGTCGCCGCCGACGGGGCCGCGCTGGGTGCCTTCGCGTCACCGACGGGCCTGTTCGGAGCACAGGGTGCTGGTGGGCGCTGGTCGCGCGTGAGCTGCGGCGAGACACCGGACCACTGCCAGCGCTCACCGGCGCCCGCTGTGATACGTCGGTGGCCAATGTTCGTGTTTGTATCGACATTGCTGCTGGCCCAGCCGCGCGGGTGCGCTGCCAGATCCGGGTGTGCTGCCAGATCCGGGTGTGTCACGTGCTGTGACGGGCGTGAGTGTGACAGGCACGGGCGAAACATGTGTTCATGACGCGGAGATCATATTTTAATAAAATGTTGAAATGTATGAGACTGGTTTGCAATCGAGCTTCATAGGTGGCTCTACGGCCGCACCCAGGTGCGTGAGGCGCCCTAAAAAAGAAGGCGAAACGGTCTGCCCGTGGAGGACTCCAGCTCCGATCGGCGCATGAGGACAACAAATTCCTCGGACGAAATGCATCAATTCTTTTTCACTGTCTAATGGAGAGCTGTAGGAGTTGAGTGGAATCTACGCAAAGTGGCACATCACACATACAATCAACGTTTTTGCTATTCCGTTTGTGTATGGGAATGACTTGCGAAACATGCCAAAAACGCAGCCGTATCTCACCACAAATCAAAACAGTGCTTATTAACCAAACCAAGCGATCTCAAGGGAACACCTTCCGTGTCCTAGTATGGTAGGATCACAATGGTGGTATGGTGCGTACAATCACCCCAACATTACACCTCATTGACACCTATGGTTCGTAAATGCGTCGAAAACGGCACATGAAACCAAGAGTTGGTTTTTACCACTTGTCAGCGCCCGTGTATTCCAAGGACGCTAGGCTTGGCAAAAGTCAAAGTTGTAGTGTAGATAAGCGATGCCAAGCGCCTCCAACGCCTCCAGCCAAGTGTATTTGGGGAACACAACCCCATCACGCTGCAGGGAGCAAGCTCGACCTTGCTTCGCCCTTGAATCTGGCCGCATCCTTGTGCATAATTCTCGTGGCTCGATGTCTCTCATTATGTGACTCGCTCAGTTCAGCACACTTTTCATAGCCCATGCGCACGTTTTGCTAGATGATGCAAAACTCCTGCAAGAAGGGAAAAGCTAATGCCAACGCACAAAACCTCCGACAGCTCTTAGCGCTCCACCTCGGCAAAACCGCGACTGGCGGCGCTCGAGGCGGTGACCTACGCACCGCGGCGGCGGGCGGGGGCGTGCCCTGTGAACGTAGCTGCAGGTCAAACGTTGGTCGGGCCAGACCGCTGACGTCGATCGATGGGGGCCGGCGGCGGGGCTGTCGGCGGTGCGTCGCATCGGGCTCCGGTCCCAGCATCGGCGGCCCAGCGGCTCAGCGGCTGTCGGGAGGATCCGGCGTCGAGCCCTCGGATCCGGGTCGACGGTCGCTCGCTGCGGAGTCGCCCGGTGTTTGCTGGTGCTTCCCCTCCCGCCCACAGCCAGGGCTGGCGGGCTGGCTAGGACATTACGGCTTTGTGCTGTACACGGGTCAGCGTTAGCGCTCGAAGCTGGCAAGCCGGCTCGAGCTTCTAGTTGTTAGGTCCTCGCGAATGGTTCGACTGGTAATTGTTCTCCCGACGAGGGTCTAACGATGGTAGTCAGGCATTGCCCGCACCACCAAGTGACGAACTTCGTTTTGGCGAGGGCGACTGAGGGCCGACGTGGAGGGCCCGGCAACGCCGCGAAGCCGCGCCCAGACTTGGACCAGCCCGCAGGAGAGAGCGTCGGAGCGGAGAGAGCGCTGCCCCTCGCACGCAGGGTTCTGACCGCTCTGCCCTCTACGGCCGGTGGACTCTGTTGCCAGGACTGCAGCGCTGCACTGAATCCGCGCGGGTTCATTGCACGGCTTGCACGCATGTGCGTGTGCGTGCCGCGTGGCGTGTGGCGCGCGGCGGGCCGCCCGACGCTGGCCCCGCACAGGGTGCCGGCCCCGGCTCGCCCGCGCCCCCGCCCGCCGCGCACCGCCTGGTGCTAACAACCGCCGCCAGCAGCGACCAATTGGCTTTGCATATTGCATGCAGCCGCATTGAACTTGCTGTATGCGTGGCTCTGTTTTGAACCAGCTTTCCTCTGTCCTGACCGGCGACGCCGGAAACTCGTTCGAGTTGAAGGGCAAAGATTGTTTTGAAGCCATTCTTTCTACACAGCGCCACAAGTTTGATGTTATTTTCCAAAGTTAGGGGGCAGCGTCTGCTCTGCCCCCCCCCCCCCACACATACATACACTGCTAATCAGCCGATACATAGACATGCCGAATGTTGCGGTCGCTGTAACATCAGTGTATTTTGGACCTTCTTGTTTTGGCGATGGTTTTGGGATTAGTGTTTTTTTACCATTGTCAGGTCTGTTATCAACTTCAAAGCCTGGGAAAGACATTTCTAGATAACGGATGAGCCCGCACTTCCAAAACACCGCCTGGTGCCTTCACACCCGTACTGCGCCGTTCCTCATTCTCACCAATCCCCTCTTATCGGAGCCCTGCCACCTCACCGACACCCCTCCCGCCTGGCCGCCGTCCTGTCACCACCTCCCACCCCTATCGGAGAGCACCGTGCTATCAGCGGGCGCCCTCGCGCTATCACGGCGCCCTTACGACCAAAGCGCGTCCGCCGGCCGCGTCTGGCGCCGGTGCATCCCTCGTACTCGCCGGTTACCTAACCTTGGCGCCGCTGCATCCCCCGTCCTCGCCGGTTACCTAACCTTGCGTCCTGCCGCGTCTGGCGCCCGGTGCAATCCCATCGTCCCGCTGGTTACCTAACCTTGCGTCCTGCCGCGTCTGGCGCCGGTGCATCCCTCGTCCCCGCTGGTTGCCTAACCTTGCGCCCTGGCCGCGTCGCCGCCGCTATCGCTGTCTTCCAACCAAACGTGTCAACGCGTAGGGACGGTTTCCGGGTGGGGGGGGGGGGGAAGAGGGGGGGGGGGAGCGTTTCCTGGTCGGACGTCCGACCACAGCGACCGCCTCCGGTCCGCAGCCAGTAATGTCCCTGCAAGAGATGCAGCTTTTCCCAATGATGTCGGCCCGCGGCCCGGCTCGTCCCGCCGAGTTAGGGATCTACTCCACAAAAGGTTGTGCTACTATGCTGAATCAGCATTAACCCGCAAGTATTAAGTTAAGCACAGCCGGTATTTTGTATTGTCTCTTACTTGTATATCTATGCATAGAATATGCCCGCAAAATGTCATAGCATTGTCATCAAAGGCACTATATTGTTTGCCTGATATCAGGGACATTGCTTAGACAGCAGTGATAAATGCACTTGGCCTATGAAATCCCTACAGTACCAAATTACGCCTTAAACATGGTGATGGCAGTTCCCAACCACAAAACGATAAGGAAACGGTGGAATTTTAAATGGTTCCTCGCCAAAATGTAGCAGCGACTTCTCCCTTGTACCTCATCTCAGTAAGCAATAGGCTGGACATTCTGAAATCGCCTGCAGCCTGCAGCAACTGATGGCTTGACACTGACAAAAAGTGAATTTTTTTTCAATCGTGGGAAGTCCCCTCAGCTCATCACACTGTCCACAAAACACAAATAATAAACTTTGTGTTACAGCATTCGATGCGCCACAATAGCCACAATGTCATATCCGTAATCAAGAGAGAATATCAGGCCTTAACTTATGTTTGCTGTCCGTAAGTGGGCACATAATGTAACAAGGAGTGAGTATTGCATGGCAGCTTTGAATTATCCACATTTCATTCCTGCTTCGTCGCAGGGCGACCGTCACGCCGTAATTGGAGGTGCGACCCTAAAATGATGGCAATAGCATTTTATCTGCGGATGCTTTGGTGCAATTCAAGTGACATCGCTCCCATTTATCAATGCAACAAAACAGTGAGATCTAGCTAAATTCTGAAATAATACATCCGCGGAAAAAATTAGCTGAACATAGTATGCGTAAGACATCCACTCACACATCACAATCTTCTGACCACTACTTTCAGATCTGCAGTAAGTGCGTGATTGACGTCATATGTTGAATTATAATTTTCGCATGGACTTGTGTACAGATGCGGATATCGGAAGAGATGATAAAAGTAAAGGAAACGATGCTATTTTTAAATATGCGCGTTGGGAAATTGGTCACGATCGCGGTAAGAGAAAAAAGCGATGCATGTTCATGTCATGTTGTTTGTATAAAAAAACAGACGCTTAAATAGACAAACTCTTTATTACCAACATTCGATTTCGATAACTGCTGCACATGTGACACATAACTATCTGCTGGTTGTAGTGACCAATGGGCGAGGCCAAGCCAGTGCAAGTGGCACAGTTCCCTGGTCGTATCATTGATAATTAGTATTAGTTCTAAGGCATGGTTTACGTATGAAACAAACAAAAAACAAACTTGCATGCTTCTCATGGTCACAGTAACAGCCAGGCGCAAAAAAACTCGCATTTCTTCTGTAACAACTTGTAAATCTTGTACTGCTGTGGTGATTTGAATGACCTACCTGACTGTTGCTAGATGGAATCAGGTCAAGCTGTGAAAGTTGTATGCGGGTATTCTAGACTTTTTCAGCGATATGTTTGCACGCTATTGTTTAATTTGTGCATCCTGGTTTACAAGTATGCCATCTGTACACAGGTCATCCAATGATTTTTCTGGCACCAGGGTCCTCGCGATGAAATCAAAATGCAAGGTTTTATATGTATTTGTTTAGGGTAGGCAATCTGATTTTTCAATGGTAAAATCGGGTGTGCTTATGCAAGAATGCATCACTTTCCTTAGTAA